ATAATGGGGAATGCTTTAGTACACATCATGCCTCTAAATTTCACCAAAACAATGCCCAAATGTGATCTAGTTCTGGTTGGCTCTGGCTCAAGAAGAAATAGACCAAAGAGCTCAAAGTTAGTCAAAGCTAAATGTAGAAAATTGATCCGTTTATCTATATTAGCACTAGAGAAAGAACAACGGACTGTTTGGGGTACTAATGATAAAGAATGATACTGGTTTTACTCACATGGCAGTACTTTTTTTGCCAAAAGTAAGCATTAGGTACACCCACTAGGCTATTAAAGTATTTATTCCAAGAACTGCTTCACCAGGTATAGATGACTAGGGGTTTAAAAGAAATAAAACTCTGTATGGTATAATGGCCACACACTATGCTCAAAAAAATACTTGTTTAATATCAAAAGCAATAATAATTCCTAAACATTGTACTGTTTATCAAACCTCTAACCTAAAGGATACTGATATCATCACAACATTAAAGCCCCAATATGTTGGAAAACATAATGTAGTTAATTCCTAACTCATGAATATGTGAAAGGTTAATTCCTATGTCAGAGGTTTGGAACTTAGAACCCATGTTCCCAAAGAAACAATGTTATTAGCAGCACTTTCTCAGGATAGTTCACATACAGAATACAAATAAACACGAAGCAGAGTGGAACTGTGGACAGAACACTGAACTTCTGAGTAGGAGGGACAGAATTGGGGGCCCAGGTCTAGAACATCCAGTTGTATTATCTGGAGCTAGTGGCTTTACATATCTGTGCCTCCAAGTTTTCATTTGTAAAAGAATAACCAATATCCATTCTAACAATCCTCATAGAACAGTATTGTATTAGTAATATTTTAGAATATAATACTACCTTACTAAACAAATCACTGTTGCTTCTTTGGGGAAATGCATTCATTCAAGCACTTACGACACGCCAGGCCTCAGCTAAAAAAACAGTAACCATGCAATGCTCACTAGCACTTCTGTAGCTATGGGAGTGAGGAATGGCATTGAAGGTAACATGAATGCAGTAAGAGGAATATGGAGGAGATGAAGCAATCAGTGTCTTCAAAGAGAATCACTATAAACTGAGTACACTTACATTGGGATTAAGGGCCCCAAAGCAAAACAGTGGTAGAGTTTACCTTCCATTCCTGAGATCTGACTGTATGTTTCAGTTTCATTCCTGAGAACATTTCCAGTAAAATGATTCCTAGGCTCCACAGATCAACAGCTGAGGTACATTCTGTATCACTCTGCAGGCCAGCCTGGGCCAAGCAATTCTGCAGTTCTGCTTCCGGAGCCCGATACCCGTCTGTCTGAATGTACTTTACATCCTAAAGAAGATGAGTAAATATTGTAACCAATCAAAAACTGCCCACTTTCCATCCAACCAGTGTATTTACCTCTCTGAAAGTGCAATGAGCCACTGCCAAACCGAATGTCAAAATTTTGAGTCCTTGGCTACCACAATGCTTTGGTTCATTAACTGGGTACTTCTCAAAGGCAAGCTGTACACTTTCCATACAACTGCTCATTTCTTTAGATATTCTCTTGCCTGTCAGACACTGCTGATAAATAAGGACACTCTGCAAAGAGCTGATAAACCATGGAGAATGGAGCATTTGCCAGAACTGTCACATGAGTTCTGCCATTAGACAGAGTCCCAACATTGAAGACACTAGTAACAGTAATTCAGCAATTAACCAAATGCTCAAAGAAAAAAAAGCCTTCTATGTAGGTAAAGTACTTTTAATAATTCCACAGCCCTCTTGTACTAGCTCCCCCTACCTGACCCAAACATATATCCCTTTTTAATGATTATGGCAATGAAATTCTTATTTGCTTCATCCCCAGGCACTTCAGTATTTTACATAGAAATATCTCTTAAAGTCTCTACTAAATCACCTCTCTTATTTAAAAATATTTTTAGACCATTGAGGGGGTGGGGAGAGAAAGTATGTCTTACCTGATTGCCTTCTTTGAAGCTAAGTCCAAAGTCAATGAGTTTAAAACATTCATTCTCAGCACTCCACAATATATTACGTGGTTTGAGGTCTGCATGGACATAACCCTCATGATGAAGAAAAGCAAGGGCCTCTAGAACATCTCTGGCACAATGCTGTATCATCCACATGGAACAACCCTGGTGACTGGAATATAAAAGCAATTCCGAAACACTGACATCCAGGAGTTCAAGCAACAGACAGCGTGATGGCACATTTGGAGAGAAGTGGATTGTAAAGACTCCATATAAAGTCACTAGAAAAAGAAAAGAATTATAATACTTTAAAAACCAGACTCCGAGTAACTGACCATTAAAGTAGATACAAATTTGGGGTAGTCTAGATAAGGATAACTTTGATGAGCAAGCAAGCCACTGTAATTTACTTTTCCCATGAGTAAGATTTTTGGGCAACTGTGTTACTTTATTTTAATAAAATGAGACGACCTTCAACAGCGGATTACTATTCAAAGATATTAAACATGGCACAATAATTCAAATTGTGAATAGGCACTTAGGGTGCCAAGCAAAAATGATCAAAAGAAAAATCCAAATACTAAGTACTCTTACGGCAAATGTCACAACATGCAAAATCAAAATTGAAGACTGTTTCTTGATCCAAAATAGCACTCTATAATCTAAATATTAAAAGGAGAGATTGAGACTTTCAAGATGACATTTTAACCTAATCTTGTAAAGATTCAACAACTCCTTAGGTCTGCAAAAAATTTCCATCTTAAATACCCGGGTTATATACACCATTTAGCAACCCTTAAAAAATTAAAAAAAATAAAAACTAAAAAAGCAACACTAGTGTTAAGAAATTCTTCTCCAAATGGTAATATTTAAAAGGTCACCTTCAAATTAAATATGGATCATGCTTGCCAGGAAATAAGACATTTCTTTATTAACCAAAGCCGTTACTAATTATAAGCTCTCTGTTGGTATAGTAACAATGAAAACTGTTTTCATACATCAATCATCAGTAACCACCACATATTTTACATTCCGAATATCTGAATCATGAAACATGGTCTTACCTGGGTAAAAGTATAAAGTGCTTATGTATAATTTTCACACTTCCATAAGGACTACTATGTAAAATTTGGGAGTCATTTCTCCCAAATCCATACTAAGTATGTATCAAGTAACACCTATACGGGTTATTAGCATTGACGTCACAAGTACTAGAAATATTTCCCATTTTTCACTGGTGTGCAAAGATTAAAACATTTCCGTATAAGACATGACAATCTAGTAAAGATATGCCTCTTTTCACTAGAGAAGATAATTCTCTGTGCTAATAGGTGCGGCATTCTCCAACGAGAACTGAATCAAAACAGAATTTATTGAGCATCTACTACGGCCAAAGCAGACCACCAACTCCACCGTATTGCAGAGTGAAAGGGGGACGGGAAAGGGCCCTGGACCGGGTGATAAGGACAGGGCCAGACCCACTTGTCCAGCCTAAAAGACGGAAGACGGAACGCCAGGCTGCAAGAGGGGGTGCATGCCTGGACTGGGACCTGAGCAAGACGAGAAGGGAGACAGCGGCTATTACCGATGTTCCTGTGACCCTGCAACTGCTCCAGCGCCGCCCTCTCTTTGCGGAAACCGTACTCGGCGGCCGAGGCCGCAGCCCCGGTGGTGCCCGGCGGTAAGAACTGCTTCAGAGCGCCGGGGGGCGAGCCGGGTGTGCCGCAGCAGCGCACACGATACACCGAGGCCGAGGAGCCGCTACCCAGGCGGCTCTGTACCTGCCACAGCCGCCCGAAAGCTTCCAGAAACCGCGGCGGCTCCGCGCCCCACGCGCAGCCGGATCCCGCCATCGGTGCGGACTGAGGGCGCTGACACGGAGCTGACGCGACGCCCAGGGCAGGCCGGCAGGGCCCGCGGTCACATCCCCGCCCGCCGGACCAGCGGCTCCGCAGGGAGGGGCCTGCAGCCGCCTCACCGACTGCCGAGACCTCGGGCCGCCATGACACCGGAAACCGTAGGCGCTGTGGGGGGGGGGGGGGGGGGGGGGGAGGGTGGTCCCAGAAGCCGGAAATGGAGGAAGAGCCAATCCTGCAGGCTGAAGGAGACGGGCCCAGAAGGGGCGGGGTCTAGAGTTGATTAGAGGAATTAAGGTTTGGAGGAAGGGACTGAGGTTGAGAGTTGTGAAACGTTCCTGAGTTCTCACTGTTCCAGGCCCAATGTAAACCGCTTTCACGCACGTCACCTGAATTAAAACTGATCCTTTTTCTTGTTGAGGCACCTCACCTCAGCACTGGGAACCTAGGAAAATAAAACCCCGCCTACATTTCTCATAGCCGGGATCCCAGAGGAAATATCCCAGTTACTAAAGGAAAGGGTTTAACACCACTTCCACACCTATGGGCACTAGTGGCTATAATTCTGGACGCTCAGGCCTCTGTGCTCCTCTTAGTCTACTTTGCCTGTGGCTGCCTCAACAAAAAGCATCCAGTCCCAGGCAAGTCTTCAAATGACTGTAGCTCTGGCTGAAATCCTGACTGCAAACTCTTGAGAGACCCCTAAGCTAGAACCACCTATCTAAGCCACTTCTGAATTCAATCCTGCAGAAATTATGACAACAAATGTTTATTGTTGTTTTAAGTTGCTAAGTTGTGGAGTAATTTATAATGTAGCAGTGAAAAAACTAAACTAGAAAGGAATTAATTAATGTCTGCAAAATTTAACATTGTTGAAAAATTGCTTTGTAGACGAGTTGTATACATTTATGCTCTAATTAGCAGTCAGAGTGTGTAACTTACCATACCCATATCATTATAAAGTATTATGATTAAAATTTTTTCTTTTTAATTTTATAAGTAATAAATAATATTTCGATACAGTTTTTATTTATTTATTTTTATTTATTTTATTTATTTATTTTTTTGCAGTACGCGGGCCTCTCACTGTTGTGGCCTCTCCCCCTGCGGAGCACAGGCTCCGGACTCACAGGCTCAGCGGCTCAGCGGCCACAGCTCACGGGCCCAGCGGCACATGGGATACTCCAGGACCGGAGCACGAACCCGCGTCCCCTGCATCGGTAGGCAGACTCTCAACCACTGCGCCACCAGGGAAGCCCTAGTTTTTATTTTTTGTTGTTGTTAGTAGTGTACACCTTTTTCATACTTTTATTAGATATTTTAATTTTCTCTTCTGTAAATTTTCTTGCAAGATCACCTTGTAGATTTCCTTTTTCCCTTTACTTTCCTTACTCCTATTGTCTTTCTGATTAGATCCTTTTCTTTCCACGTGGCTGGTAAACGCCAGGAAATACCAGAGGCTCACTTGGAATTGCAGGCTCTAACTGTAAGCAATCTACTGTCCCTCTCTAACCTGTTCTTTCTTCTCTCCTGAACAATATCTCTTTGCAGTGTGCTATGGATTGAATGTCTGTGTGCCCCCAAATTCATATGTTGAAACCCCAGTCATCAGTGTGATAGTATTTGGAGATAAGGACTTTGAGAGGTAATTAGGTCATGAGGGTGGAACCCTCATGATAGGATTAGCACCCTCATAAGAAGAGATACAAGAGAGCTTGCTTTCTCTTTCTGCTCTCCATTGTGTGAGGGTACAACAAGAATTTGGCAGTTTATAAACCAAGAAGAGGGCCTTCACTAAGAACCTGACTATGCTGGCACCCTGATCTCAGACTTCCAGCCCCCAGAATCATAAGAAATAAATTGTTGTTTAAGCCACCCAGTCTGTGGTTATTTGTTATAGCAGCTTGAACTGGCTAAGGCACAATGATTATCATAAACTTTGGCCACTTGAGGATTCCTATAATAGAACCCATTTCTTCCTGGTATTTCAAGAGACTTTGTTCTCATTTCCTTGTTCTACACCCTGAAGTAAGTGGACCAATTGGTGGTCTGTCATGACACTTCCCACCTTTTCAATTCCCACATCCCTGTCAATGTCACAAGCAGCTTTAGAAGGAGGCTGAGCCAGGCCCTCTGACTGGTCCTTCTTCTATAGGTCTAGAGACCAAGCCCTGGCTTCAGAGTCAGACCTGATTTCAATCTACCACTTACTGTCTATGTGTCCCTGAGTAAACTAGCCAAACTCTCTTAGACCTTGTTTCCTTGGCTAATTTTAAGATGGGATGAAATATCTGCTTTGTTATAATTAAATAAAACAACAAATGTAGATTATCTTATGAAGTACCTGAGACACAGTGGGCTCTCAGTAAGATTTGCTCTTTTCACTTACCTATGCTTAGACTTAGAGTGCCCACTAGAACAAAATAGAACCTTCTTATCATCTCATCATGACTCCTCAGTGGACTGCAAAGATGCTACAGATAACTAACTGTGTTTCTTGATACTACTTAATATCTCCTCCAGGTATTCTGTCCCCTTGTGGTATCTGAGGGACCTGAATCACACTTCTTTTCCTGTTCAAGTTTACTGCCCTTCAGATGGAGGAGGATAATGTGGTGCAGGATGCATCTTGCAGGCACTTTCGGGAAAGTCAGTGTGAGCCAGATATGACAGGGAATTCCATCACCTCCAAATATTTGAATTTGAAATCTTAATAGACTAGAGGCTACTGGTGACTCAAGAAATCTGGGAGGAACTTAAATTTAGAGGGTGCATTGGTTCCCTCTGTTACAGTGGAGAAATTACAGCCTCTGAGGCCCTAGAGCCATGTCACAAAGCACTGCAGAAATAGTCTCCCAAACTCAGAGGAAAACAGAGATAGGGAGGCTTTTTTTCTCCAGGTTGTAAAACAGGTAGCTGAGAGGGACAACTGATTCACCCATCAGGCCTAATCCCAGGATCACTAGGATCACCATCCTTGACCAAATGGCACAAGAGAGCTAGGCAGGTCCATTGACCCTGGAGCTGCAGCAGCAGAGCCCAAGGAGAGGTAGAGTGACTTGGGGAGAAAAAGACTAACCTGTGATCAAAAGGGAGAGATTGTTTTGAGAAAATATGGAAACTAAACTTTATAGAGCACTTACTGTGAGCTGTTACATCATGAAGGATCTTTGATAAACAATAGCTCTTTATAGAAACTGTACAAAATTATTGTTTCCTATCTAGAACTCTATATTACCCTTTGAAGTTATCTTCTCAAAGGAAGCATGTCAAAACATAACAGGGATGGTTTTTTCTTCAAACTACTTTGGGATCAAAAGTCCAAAAGAATAAATTGAAGGGATATAAAAGGAGAGAAATCAACTCAGATATGCCTGTGGTGAGGTATGCCTTTTCCAACTCTCATTCCTGTCAGGATACAACAAGGTACTATGCTTGAAAAGAGTTTGAAAGCTATAAAGCATGGTATTATTATTATTTTCCTATAGAGATGAAGGCAGCAGAAGTGGAGAAGTCACAAACAGAAGATCATGTAAGTCTCCAACCAACTCTTGTATGAAAAATGGGTGCTTAATAATATAGGTGGGTCTAAATAGTAGAAACACTTATTACTCAAGCATTAATGGAAATCAGTCTAGTCTTGGCCTTAACATTAGGAGAGAGAGAATATTCGAGAGAGAGGATTGTGGGACCCAAATCCAGAAAGGTAGAAAAGCCTGATAGCTTGAAACCATTTATTCATTTATTCCTGACTTCAATAAAAATTTATAAAGAACTACTATAATTCCCTGGACAAAGAACTCAGAGTCTGGTGAGGGAGACAGACAAGTTTAACGAGGAAAAAAAAAAAAAGCACAAGTGAAGAACTATGCTTACAGCATAAGGAAAAGTTCATTATTTGAGATTGGAGAAAGTTAAGATAATGATTGTGGGAAAGTGATCTGATGAACTGAAAAATGCTGATGACCCCAAACTTTACCATTAAGGTGGTATGGTATCATCATCCCAAGAGGGAAGAGAAAAGAAGTCAAAGTTGGAAGAGAAAATAACTTCAATGAGAAGTGTATTGAAAAGGAGGGTCGATTTAAATGGAATGGTATATAGATGTCCCTCGGTATCCACCAGGGGGCAGAGGAATTGGTTCTAACACCCCGGCTGATACCAAATTCATGGATGCTCAAGTCCCTTATATAAAATCCTGTAGCCCAGAGGACCTCCCGTATCCACGGGTTCCACATCCACAGATTCTACCAACCCCAGAGAAGACTGAAAATCGTGAATGTGAAACCATGAATGTGGAGGGCAGAGTGTTTATCTATCTCAAGATAGATCTTGATTTCTTGATACACTATCTCTTGATTTGAAACTGGCTTTTAGATAATATTTAGCAGGCAGTTCTGCACTGTATACACTATTGAGGAAAAGACTAGGTAAGGGGAGGGGGGTATGCCTCAATGTCACTCTTGTCAACTGGCCCCAGCAACTATTTGTCCTGAAAATTTTGACTGGGGAATGCCAAGTCAACACTTTATTAATATCTCGAGATTAATATATTTAAAACTATATTCCTGATCTTTCTCCCCAGTCAGCCCCAAAACCCTGGCCTCATCCTTTGACTCTTATCTTTTTACCATCTTCAAAATATACTCAACCACTTTTTTTTTTAACCATCTCCCAGCTACCAGCCTGCTCTAAGCCTCCATCACCTCTTGCCTAGATTATTGAAATAACCTCCTAACTGGTCTTTCTGCTCCCACTCTTGTCCTCCTACAGTCTCTTCTCAACATTCTCAGGCCATTCATTTCAATCTCTTCCTTTCCTTTCTCTCCCAGGTCCAGCTCTTACAAAAGCCACTTTTGCAGACAGTGACGTTCAGGTGATGTGGACTTCCCAGCCTCTCTGCTCTGTTCTCCACCTTCTGGTGGGAGTGTTAATAAACAGTGAAAAGATAATCAGCCAAACCAAGGAAAGTCAAAGGCCTTGATAATCCAGAAATTGCATAAACAGTTATATAAAATTAAGAATTGTCTCTAGATTCAAAAGTGATGTGTTTTTATTCCTGATCCTGAAAGAATGAAAATCACAAAAGAGAGATATAAATCATCACTTGTCACTATTTTACTTAATATAACAAACTGCCTTAATTACTAATTTGCACTGAGCTGCATTAATATTGCTTCAAGTACTAACAGTTTTCCTCTGAAATTTTAAGACACTGCTTATAATTATTTTTCTGGTTCGTACAGCCTGAGCAAATTTCATTAAACTCTTTTTGTTTCATGGGTTCACGTGTGATACTAAGCTACTGATCCTTGCTATGCCCATATATGGGTACTATATATTTTAATGTTATATCTTTTAATACAGTTTTATATCATATTTATTCTTTTGGAGAGAAATGGATGCAGAGTGAGAGTTAGCAGTTTGAAGTTTTGGGTTTATATATTTTTTTTTGGTTACGTATTTGGCTCTGTATTTTTAAAAAATTTTTTTAATACAATGCATTTTCTTTTTTTCTTCTTCTCCTTTATTTATTTACTTGTTTTATTTTATTTATTTTTGACTATGTTGTGTCCCCGCTGCCGCGCGCGGGCCCCCTTCTCACTGCGGTGGCCTCTCTTGTTGCAGAGCACGGGCTCCAGGTGTGTGGGCCTCAGCAGTTGTGGCATGCGGGCTCAGCAGTTGTGGCTCACAGACTCCAGAGCGCAGGCTCAGCCGCCGTGGTGCATGGGCTCAGCCGCTCCACAGCACGTGGGATCTTCCCAGACCAGGGCTCGAACCCGTGTCATCTGCACTGGCAGGCGGACCCTCAACAACTGCGCCACCAGGGAAGCCCTGGATCTGTATTATAATATAGAACAAGTTGATGAGATTTTGACAAAGAAACCTAATTGGTGTCCAGTGGAAAAAGATAGGTTTGTATTCTACCTACACCCATCCCAAGCCTAATGAGGAACAGCAACAATCCTTAATTGTGATAAAGATGAGTGAAAAACGAGGAGAACGTTTTCCTTTTCCCCAAAGCAGATCTTGCTCCTCTCTTACTAAAGCGTTCAACCTCTCTCCACATGGTAGCAGGGCAATTCCAAGCTCTGACCCTAAGCCCATTACATAGGGCGTTAGCAGAGCCTACCTTAAAAAGTCAGAAAGGTAGAGGCAGTAAACTCTTCTAGTTGGAGGATGTGGGGTTGGGGGAAGTGTGGGATTAGCAAATTCTTAAAGAGAAAAGTCCATAAATTAGCAAATGAAATTTCTCAAGAAGAAAGTGTCTCTAATATATTCAGGAAGCATCAGCTAAAATCTCTGCCCTGCAAGCATTTAGCAGGCCTCAGCACAACTGATAGGTAATACCATTTCTTTGTTGATGACGTATTAAGATATCCAGGGTGATGGTTGAAAGCCTAGGCTCTGCAGTTCTACTGTCTGGCTTCTAACCCTGGATTCACCACTTTGCCATCATGTGTGTGATCTTGATCAAGTGACTTCTCCTAACTAAACCTCCGGTTCTTCAACATTAAAACGTCATTGGGTTACTATGGCGACTAAAAGAAATACCGTGTTTAAAGAGCTTAGCATAGTGGTTGCCACAGAATAAGCACACAATAGACGTTAGTTATTCTCCTCTGGATTTCGAATTATTTACCACGTTGACCCCCTAAAATGCCTGGGAGAATCAGATTGAAGAATTCTAAAACTGTCTTCCTGGTTGGGACCTACAGATGGTGCTATGACCTCATCTGTTCTATTTTCTAGAATGGTGGTAAGCACTACTAGGACCCCCTCAGCAGACCCAGTGAATAAGGATGAGAGCCAGAGACGCAGATGGTGTAGTAGGCAGGAAATTAAACTGGTTCAGTGGGAAAACCTCTTCTTTTTTATCTTTGAGCCCCATCTTCAGCTGTTTTCTTTGAGATTTAGCCAGTGTGTTTTATTGAATGGGTATACTTGATCCCTCCAAACCCCTCCCCTCCCCAAGTGATCGTGAACCTAAGATATTACCCTTAAAGCTATCCTGTTTCTAATGCCACTAGTATGATTTTAACTTGCCACGTTGGCCCTGTCAGAAAACTACATTCTCCAAAAATTTTCTCCCGAGACGTGAAATCTTCGTTAGTTGCTACTTGGTGGCAATAGCCACTTTCCACACCTTTACCAAAAACAAGGATTTTTTGTAGTCTTCTGATTGTTGTTACTACCAAGGCTCTAGACAAAATTCAATGACAAATGATTTTAGCGAATTTAAAAAATCAGAAAAACTGCTGATTCTGAAACAGACACTATTAAAGCAGGCACCTTTCTATAAATTCTTACTTTTATATCAAAACAACTTAAATTTTTAGACATATGATTTTTACATGTAAATTTTACTCGTTTTTTTTTATAGACCATAAAGATTTCCTGTATTAGTCTTCTGTATAAAGAATTTTGCAAGCCTAAGGGAAGACACTTTCTGTGTGTGTGTTTATTTTACACATGTGGTATCGGAAACTAATGGTATAACACACCTACACATAAATGAGGCAAAAGATAATGGATATCAAAAAGAGCATGAGAGAAATATTCTAGTAAATCGGATATAAAAAGCAAATATAATATAAAAATGCGAGAGCCACGTGAGTTACAAATTAGTAAGTTCAGGTAGGGCTTCACAAGAAACCCCTTGGTGAAACTATTGAACAGTAGCGCATTGTAAAGCACTAATGTTCAGTGTAGACCAGACATGATTCTTTTGGAAGTCAATGCTCCCTAGCTCTTTTATTTCACACACAAAAAAATCTCAAGTCATCAGGTATTAAAAGTATTCTCTTATTACTTGAGAGTAAAGATGAAAGTGAAAATTTTAAGCTGTTGTAGCTGTATCATTTGCAAAATCATATGGCTTTAAAAGCTTGAAAATAACACTTCCATAAAGCCTTCAACTTAAGCTATCTGTGAAAAGAACAAACTACCTAATATCTGATGGTTTTCACTGATCAGAACAGAAATATATTAGGAGGATGGGAAATGTATTCGGTTAAGGAATAACTACATTCAATTTATTCAGCTAGAAAGCTTATGAAGATATAATTATGTGATGATATATGCTTGGAAATATTCTCCATGCTCTGTTAACAGAAATAGAACGTACTAAGTAGTACACTTGGGAGACAATGTCTTGTTTAGCAAGATACGTGAAGATACAGTGAGATGTGCCAGTTATCAATTTATTGCCTCTGATTCAAATCCATCCTTTTTTGACCTGCTTTGGGACACTGGAGCAGGACCCTGTGAACATTTCTCCATTGCCAGCTGTCTCTGTTAATAACAGAGGGCACTTGGAGGGACGCTGCCAGAGAATGGGGCTTCTCTCCCTGCTCCTGGGGTGCTTTCTTTTCCTCCTTCAGTGTGGCTGCAAGTGACATGAGAGAGGCCAGACAGAACGCACCCTCCAGTGAGTTTGCCCAGCGAATTTCTCTGCTGCCCTACAGGTAAGCTGTGGCCGTGCTCTCTCCAACAGGATCTGAACCTCAACCTTGTATGGTGGGTACCCTCTTCCAAAGTCTTTGTTTCCTCTTTGGACATTCCTTCCCTTAACCCTGGAGGTGGTAGCTGCTTCCTGTATTTTCTATTCTTGTGTTCTTTAGTGTCCTCTTTTCCCCCTTTTAGTTAACTGCCTTTTACTACTTAATAATTCTTTATGATAAATTTTCTCTGCTCAAATTACTAGTGTGGTGTCTGACCCCTAACTAGATCCTGACTAATACATGAGATCGGGGGAGGAGGCCAACTGACTGTTTAGACCAGCCTTTCTCAGTCTTCTTACCCTGGAGAAATCCCGGAAATAACTTTCAGGTCTCAAGGAAGCCCTACTGAGAAATTATTAAATCTCTGGCTTACGCCATCAGGAAGGTGTAGATAATAACGGTCAATGCTCTGTTTAGAAGAGAATGATGTTCTCCTGCAGATCTACTTATTTTGGTCCAATTACTACTGTATTTTTTGTGTGGTTCTCCCTCCCCACAAAGGATCACAACCCTACTGAAAGTCATTAGTGTAGATAGAGAAAACTTCCCTAAATTTCCAAAGTTTTTCCTTTGTTTAAATGCCCTTGACTTTTTTTTTTTTTTACCTAACCCAACTTGGCCTAAAAGTCTTATAATAAATTCCTACTGTGTGAGATGCTAATGAGGTGTACTCTGTGGAATAGTTCCTGGAGAAGAGTAGTTTTCCACCTATTTAAAACTAAAAATTACTTTTTAGCCAAACTTTCTTGAAAAAAATAGGGAGTTAAGCTTAGCTTATCTTTTTTTAAATCAATCTTTCTTTTCTTTTCATAATTTTTAAAAATTCATAAGGCAGGCAATGAATTTTGTTGAATAACTGACTTAAGCCAAAATGAGACAATTTTTCTAAAGGTAGGCTTGGTTGATTTAGTTTAAATAAAAGCTATACATTTATTTTAATTAACATCGTCCACAACATGACATTTTATTAACACTTATTGAATAGTTAAGCTATTAAAATCATAAGCCAAACAATCTGAATAAAAATCTAGTTTAAGATACAAATTTACACAAGAATTTAAAAATACTTTCTTACCGAGTGCCATGATCTGGCTCAAACACAAATGTAGCAGTAACAAAATTATTATATACATGATTGGTTTGTTTGTTTTTTTGTATGAACGTGTTATTTTTGAAACCACAAATGCAGAAAAAATTTTCCTTTTTAAAAAAAATTTTTTTAATTGTAGTTGATTTACAACGTTGTGTTTTGTGTTAGTTTCAGGCGTAAAATTTATTTCTTTAATGTCTAATCTGTGCTAGATTTTTTTTTTTGCTAAACAAATATTTAATTCTCAGTTGAACTTGAGATAAGCATGAATGGATTTCATTTTTAAATGAAATGAGATCATTTTTTGATTTGTGGTGACCTAAATGAGAAGGAAATCTAAAAAAGAGTGGATATATGTATAACTGATTCACTTTGCTGTACAGCAGAAACTAACACAACATTGTAAAGCAACTATACTCCAATAAAAATTAATTAAAAATAAATAAAATAATATCATTTTTGTCCCTCCTCTTGATGCTTGCCATACCAGAAAAAAAATTCTTACCCATGTAAGTAGTTGAATACTGCAGCAAAATGTTTATTGTTTTTCTATGAATGGCAAGATACCCTTATTTTGCCAAAATCCAAAACTTGTCTAGGGGTCAGACAAGTACATCTCATCTTTTGTGTGTAATCAGATTGTGGATCACAAAGTACTTTCTCTTCTCTCAAAGCCAAGCACAGAAGATTCAGGGGGGGAAAAAAATGGTTCCTCACCCAGTCATCCATTTGGATTGGAAAAAAGAAAAAAAACTGTTCAGTGTTTTCTCTAGTACTTCCAGGTCATTTTTAGTAAGACTTGAAACTCGCTGGTTTCTTCTAATCCCAAGCAGCAGTGAAAACAGTGTGAAATTTCCTTTTACAATGTGATTTTTCCAAAGACTCAATTTCCTTTTAAATACAAGAATCTTGTCACCTAAGTCCATATATTTTCTTCAGGGCCTTAAAGAGACTTAATTCACCTTGCTCGTGGGATCAAAAATGTCTGCTAAGAAGGTTAGTTTCTGTAGCCATTCTTCATCTTCAAAGCACCCAGCAAACTCTGGCCTCCTATTTTCTTGAAAGCGTCCTGCAATTCACCTTTCAGCTCAAGCCCCCTGTTGAGAAGTCTTCCTTTGCCAGCTAACAGATATCTGTGTGTAGCAGGAGATATGTTCTTTGTCTGGGTGTTTACTCAGGCTTTTAAACATTTTTGAGTGAACAGGTCTCTGTTTAATAAAATTAAGCATTTTTGTAACATCACCATAAGTTTTTGTATCATCTCCAAGAGTTTTTCAATAGCACCTCTCTTTGAAGAAGGCAGTCTGCTGTGATAACATCAGCATTTTTTTTTTAAACAACAAAGGATGAAACCTCATATGGAACCAGCCATGGATGGGACACCACTAGTTATACTGGCCAAAAGAGTGCCTCCACGATAACTATCTTTTCTAGACACAAAGACACAATATTTCCTGGCCTTTTCCTGTTTTGTTCTACCCTTTGCAGCAGAAAATGTTTTCTTAAATATATCATTAAAAAAATCTTACAAGTGCTACAGCATATTTATTTCTGAAACCTGTTAACTCATCAACCTGGATAAAGAAATTCTCATTCTTCAGTTTTTTACACAAAACCTCTTCAGTATCATGTGACTTGTCATTACTATGTTGATTTGTTGTACTGTTTGAGAGTGGAACCTTCTCAGTTTCTCATACTACATGCGGTAGAACGAATAATAGCCCCCAAAGATATCCCTGGAAACTCTGTATGTTAACTCTGCTCGGCCTTCTTATCACCTTCTCTGTATCAACTCTCCTTCTTGTCTCCCTCTTACAAGAACATGTGATTGCATTTAGGGACCACCATATAATACAAGATAATCTCCTAATCTTAAAATCATCAGTTATGTTTGCAAAGACCCTTTTTCCAAAGTGACATTCACAAGTTCTGGGGAATAGAAGTGGACCTATTTTTAAGAGTCATTATGAGCCTACCAAAATGGTCTAGGACAACTTGGATTACCAGCCTATGTAAAACCCACTAATAATCAGCCTTTACTGTAAAGATGGACTTCTTTTATGTCCTTTATTGCACCAGTGCAGTGAAATTATTCAAATGACTATAATTTTTGTCACTGACCTCAGCAGAACTTTCCACAGGCCTAGGTCTAAACTCTTACTCTTTTATCTTATGACTCATCTTCAAAAATTGTCATGTGATCATTGGTCGTGTTGGTAAAACATAACTGTTAATATAATATAAAATGGAAGGGTATAAAAATATAACTAAATGAGAAAATTGCAAGAAATATGAAAACTTTACAATACAATTGACTTCCAACAGATAATCCATATTTTGCAATGTTTACAACAATAGCAAAGCTGCAGGGAACAGCTGAGTTGTGGCATACCAAAATTCCTTCTTTAGAATGAAAGTTTCCCTGTGATTCTCTATTACGCTAGTAGAGTTTGCTCACCACTTTTAAGGCAGCTGGTGGCTTGGTGGCTTATAAGAGGAGGTTGAGGGGGAGGCAATTTGGAAAGGAGAGGCTGACATCATCAAGCCTACAGTCCTCCCTTCCATGTGGTCAGCACTCACCAATTGCCACATTGAAAACCAAGAATAAGTCAATATAATGAACATGGTCCTACTGTGCGCCAACCAGTGGGACCAAAAGACCTCTTAATGAAATTGCTAGTAGGGCTGTTGGGTCACCATCCCTCACTGTAAACACTAGTACTGAGCAGCACACGACATACAAAAATGATGTTTTCGATCACAATTTCTTGCTGAAGCCACATGTGAAGTTTCCATGGAACCTAGTTGTAAACTCTGATTTAGATTTTTGTGACTACAAGAGTGAAATAAGCCAAGAACACCTGCTTTTTATTTTTCTTTCTTTAAAATACTTATATGTGCTGGGCATTGCTCTACACACTTTATATATTGATACATTAACTAATTTAATCTTCAGATCCACTCCTTAAAGTGGATATACTATTACTGTCTTCATTTTACAGACGAGGAAACTGAGGCATTAAGAAGCTAAGTAACTTGCCCAAAGTTACACAGCTAGTTTATACTGGGCTCCGGTAACACTAATGATAAACCAATTTATTCCAATTTGTGAATGACCAACCCCCTTAAGTCTTCTAGAGATGTAAATATGATTTTCTAATATGTAAATTAAATGAAGAAGTATTTTGAAGTAAAATTATAGATTAAAATATAACATATATAGGGCTTCTCTGGTGGCGCAGTGGTTGAGAGTCCGCCTGCCGATGCAGGGGACACGGGTTCGTGCCCTGGTCCAGGAAGATTCCACATGCCGCGGAGCGGCTGGGCCCGTGAGCCGTGGCCGCTGAGCCTGCGCGTCCGGAGCCTGTACTCAGCAACGGGAGAGGCCACAACAGTGAGAGCCCCATGTACCGCAAAAAATAATAATAAAAATAATAACATATATAGAAATATGTCCAAGTTGTGGGTCTATAGATGAATGAATTTTCACAAAGTAAAAACACCCTTAACTGATGCACTTTGTTATAAAGCAGAAACTAACACACCATTGTAAAGCAATTATACCCCAATAAAGATGTTTAAAAAAAAAACAAAAAACACCCAGGTAAGTGACACCCAGATCAAGAAGATATTTTCACACTCAGTTCATTTGGCAGTCCACTTATCTTCTTCTAGGTCATTCTAGTTCTAAGTCATTCCATTTTTTCAGTCCATGAGTTAGGTAGCCAGGATAGAAGCCACTGGTCTTCATAGTAATGAAACCTACCTCACAGGTCTGTGTATGAAAGCACTTTGTAATCTGTGTGTTCTTTGGAATCTTCTGTGTACCACAAAAGCTTAAACACTTTCTAAAGACTCAGCTCCAAGTTCTCCTCCACCATGAAATTTTCTGTCTTTGATGATGCCATCCTGTCAGGGTCTCCCCTCTTTAATCTTTTGCAGGGCTCTTGCTAATATTATTCCATTGATATTCATTCTATGTCGCTTTTCATATCTATGCTCACATGAATTGCCAGGGAAGGAAGTGTTTCTTATAGCTGATAATAATAGACACTCAAGAAATATCTGTGGGCTTGTCCGTTATATATTCACCACCCCCTTTGCTTTGGGTATACAGGGAGGGAATGAGTGCTGTTATGGACTGAATGATTGTGTCCCCCCAAAATTCATACGTTGAAACCCTAACCCCCAGTGTGTTGTATTAGGAGACAGGACCTTTAGGAAATAATTAGGATTAGATGATGTCATAAGGATAGAGCCCTCATGCATGAGATTAGTGCCCTTATAAGAGTCACAAAAGCTTGCTTCCTGTGCTCTGCTCTCCACCATGTGAGGATACACCAAGAACCTGGCAGTCTACAACCCAGAAGAGGGCTCTCACCAAAACCTGACCACGCTGGCACACTGATCTCAGACATCCAGCCTCCAGAACTGGAAGAAATAAATTCCTGGTGTTTATAAGCCATCCAGTTTATGGTATTTCATTACAGAAGCATGACTTGACTAAGACAGATGTCAGGAAGGACTGGGACACCAAACAGATGTTTGCATGAGGTTTATAGAACAAGATTATTGACTGGACTAAAATTTCAGGACCCACTGGTGACTTCTGCCTGACATTTTCCATGTGCGATAAGTTACAGTCTCAGAAGTTACCAAGCAGTGATGGACTGTATGGGAGCTTTTCTTTCTCTCTTTTTTTAAAATTATAATTGACATATGACATTATATTAGCTTCAGATGTACAGTGCAATGATTCAACATTTGTATATATTGAGAAATGATCACCACAATGTCTAGTTAACATCTGTCAACACACATAGTTACAAAAAAAATTTTTCTCTTCCTTGTGAGGGAGATATTTTTAATCTGAATAAATATCTGTTTTGTCCTGGTTAAAATGTTAAAATGCACTTCAAAGTGGCCACTGCTTTAAAGGTGTTAACCATGGATGAATATTGTGTGACAACAGTGTAAGCTGCAATATATAGTAAAAATGTTTTGTTTATTATTATTAAAATTATAATTTGATTGTTATTAACAAGTTTGCCATTGGGATCTGGCCAAGACTAACTTTCCAGTGTTCAATTTAATGGTATTGCCACTCTTAACTGAGCAGCCTTAGAAATTTTGTTTTTTTTCTAATTGAGGTATAGTTGTTTTACAATGTTGTGTTAGTTTCCACTGTACAGCAAAGTGAAGTAGAGTTCCCTGTGCTATACAGCAGGTTCCTATTAGTTATCTATTTTATACATATTAGGGTATACATGTCAATTCCAATCTCCCAAGTCAGCCCACCCCCTTTTCCCCCGGCTTGGTGTCCATATGTTTTTTCTCTACGTCTGTGTCTCTATTTCTGCCTTGCAAACTGGTTCATCTGTACCATTTTCTAGATTCCACATATATGCGTTAATATACAATATTTGTTTTTCTCTTTCTGACTTACTTCAATCTGTATGACAGTCTCTAGGTCCATCCACATCTCTACAAATGACCCAATTTTGTTCCTTTTTATGAACAGCCTTAGAGTTTGACACGGACTATGAGTTTGCTAGAGCAGAACAACTATGAAATTATTATAGCTCCATTTATTTAGCTATTTTTTCATTCACTATATATAAATCATTGTATTAGCTGTTGGGCAAAAGGGAGAAACCAACATGGGGAGAGAAGAAATAATCTTTATACTAAAACCAGAAGAAGGACAGTTCAAGAAAGGAAATTTATGTCTCACTCATGAACATAATTGCACATATCCTAAATAAGATATTGGCAAAATTATACTGAATGAAAAAAAGCCTTACAAAAATGCATACTTACCTTACGATTCCATTTATAGAAAATTGTTGAGCAGTCAAAACTAATCTATAGTAAAAAAAGAAAGATCAGAATAGTGATTGTCTCTGGTGGCCATGGGGGCAGGAATTAACTGAGATGGGACACAAGTAAACTCTTAGGGATGATGGTTAAGTTCTATATATTTTTTTAAAATATTTATTTATTTCTTTGGCTGCACCTTGTCTTAGTTGTGGCACGTGGGATCTTTAGTTGTGGCATGCATGCAGGATCTAGCTCCCTGGCCAGGGATCGAACCCAGGCCCCCCTGCATTGGGAGCACAGAGTCTTAGCCACTGGACCACCAGGGAAGTCCAGTAAAGTTCTATATTTTGATAGGAGTTTGGGTTTCAGAGGTATATGTATTTAGAGTTGAGGTCATTCAAGGATGCTGAAGCCATGCACATCAAATATGTTGTAAAATCATTCATGTGGTATAATGCAGAAAATGTACTGAAAGAGGGTGAGACTCCACTCATGCATTCATTGAACTTTTATTGAATACCTGCTCTGTGCAATATCCTGTATTAGGTGTTACGGATTTAAAAAAAAAAAGTAGTACAGTAGAGTTCTTACCTTTGAGAAGTAGTTCTTAAACTGGAGGTTCTCAGCAGATGCCTTGGGAAGCTAAAAAAATCATAGAATCAGACTGAGTATAAGCACAGCATAAATACAGTTATTAAAGAAACAGAAGCTGGATTGTAAAGTGTTAAAGAGAGGAAGAAATGGATACAGTGGGTGTAGAATATATGTGAATGGTTTGGCTGAACATTCTCAATTCACGGAGTTTCACAGTAGCACTGCTCAGATGATACATCTTGCAAGTTTCTTGTGAGTTTGGGTAATAAGATATGAGTGGTTTGTGTTTTGAGCTTTTTCTGCGAATATAACTCCTTTTAGTGAGTATCAAAAATGTATTCTAGGGGCTTCCCTGGTGGCGCAGTGGTTGGGAGTCCGCCTGCCGATGCAGGGGATGCGGGTTCGTGCCCCAGTCTGGGAAGATCCCACATGCCGCGGAGCGGCTGGGCCCGTGAGTCATGACCGCTGAGCCTGCGTGTCCGGAGCCTGTGCTCCGCAACGGGAGAGGCCACAACAGTGAGAGGCCCACGTACCGCAAAAAAAAAGTATTCTACCACTGCACTCTGCAAATCCATGTCCTCTTTGCTCTCAGGAGGACCACTGTGAAAAAGGTGTCAAAAAAAAAAAGGTGTCTGGATAATCCACTCATTCATTCTTTCATTCATTCATTCCACATACATGTATGATACACCCATAGAACAGACACTATTCTAGGACTTGGGATATTATCAGTGAACAAAATAAAGATCCCTGACTTTTTGTTCAGCTTACGTTTTACCCCACTCAGACAATAACAATGAACTTAATAAATAAATTAGTAAATTACATAGTACATGTGAAAGCTATAAGTGCAATGGTAAAAATGAAAAAGAAAAAGCAGAGTAAGGAGAACCAAGAGTTCATGGAGGTGGTATGCAGGAAGCTGCAGTTTTGAAGAAAGCAGTAAGGGTTGGCCTCAGTGAGAAGATGACATTTGAACAAAGACTTGGAGGAAGTGAGAGAATTATCCGTGTGAATGAGGAAGGAGCAGTCCAGCAATGAGAAGAGTCAGTACAAAGGCTTTGGTTCAGAGGCGTGCCTGGTGTGTTTAGGAGTGATTAGGAGGCCAGTGTGGCTGAAGCAGAGTGAGCATGAGGCAGAGGAGGAGGTGAGGCCAGAGAGATGAGGTGTAGGGGAACAGGTCATGCAGACTCTGTAGCCCAGTAGGGTCCTTGATGTTTACTGTGAGTGAAAGGAAAAACCATTTGCAAAATTTTGAGCAACAGAAAGACATGAATCTGACTAAACTTTTAAAAGATCACTTTGATGAGTGTATTGAGAATAGGCTGAAAATGGGCAAAACAAGAAGCAGAAAGATAGTAGGAGGCTATCGCAGTAATCCAGTGATGGATCCAAATTTATCCTCCAGCCTGGTACCAATGCCCATTAGAGACACTCAAAGGGCAGGCAGAGAGGCAGAGACATTATCACTGAAGGACATGGTGAAAGAAATAAGCACAAATCTGGGAGGGGGCCTTTACCACTAGCACTTGTAAGTGGATTAGTTTACCTGGAGAGTTACCCAACTAGAGAAATAACTGCTCCTGGGAGCGATACCCAGTACAGGTCTTATACCGAACTGTGAAAATACAAGATCTGAGGACCAGCAAGGCAGCACTGGGTAGCCTGGCCAGGGCTAGGAAAACTAGGCAAGGGGAGCCTACAAAGTGAGGGGAAACAGTGATGTTGAGGGCAAGCTTCATTCATTCAAGAGAATAATATGTTCTAGGAATTCTACTAGGCAGTAGAGAGAGAAACAGAGAAGACATAGACCCTGCCTTCTAGGAGCTCACAATCTTGTTGAGGAGAAAAAGAAAACAAATAATTGCAAAAAAAGTGAGCAATATTTGAAGTGTGAACTAGGTACAGTTATAGCCACAGAGGAGTCATTGGTCAAACTTGTCCAAGAGGAGTCATTGGTCAAACTTGTCCAAGAGATAAAGGAAGGCTTCATATGGGAGAAGGTATTTAAGTTTGATCTTGAAGGTATGTCTGTCAGTTAAGCAAAGGAGACTGGTATTCCAGGAAGTGGAAAATATATGGCATAAATATCGACATGGATGTAAATGTAAATATATAAAAATGGGGTCATTTGAAAGACCATGTTCTCTTTGGGGAAGTGCAGGTAGTTCCATATGGCTGGATCTTATGTACGCAAAGAAAAGCAGAAGGGAAATAGCCCTGAGAGACATGCAGAGGCCAAAACTCAAAAGCCCTTTTCAGATGGGCTAAGGAATTTGCATCCTACCTACGCTAATGATCTCATGATTTTCTACTCAATATCAAATTTGCACCACCTCCATCGTGTGCCATCCAAATGGCATGAATATTGACCCCTGTCTCTGGGAGCAGGTCATGAATACTCTAAGCTATTTTAATAACTCCATACACCTTGCCAGTGGTTGGTTCAGAATCTCTAGACCAATCCGTGGATGGATTCCCTTAACCAGAGAGACAGGTTCAGGAGTTGTACACATGATGAAATATGTTCTAATGTAATTTGAATTTGCTGAAACCTTCTGGGTAAAGTTTTCTCTCTCCTAAGAAAGGAAGAGGCAGTGTTTTTCTCTCTCCATGAACATCATATTGTAACTGTGAGTAACAAAACTGCTGCAGTCACCTTGCAACCAGCCTGAAGAACAAAATTCACAGTGGGAAAGGCAGACATAAGAGAACTGCAGGGAAACAGTACTGGAACCACCAGAGTAAGTCAACACTGAAGTCTGCCTTCCCTCTGAAGTTCATGTTACATGAGCCAACATTCCCTATTGAATTTCCTTATTGAATCAACTTGAGATAAGTTTTCTGTTATATGCAACGTAAACCATCCTAACTCATACATTCCAGTAGGAAAATAAATATCATTTTTTAATTTCAGAACGATCATGCTGGTGATTTGGAAGGGGTAAAACTAGAGGCATGGCTTAGCAGAGAGATAATTGAACCACTCAGAAAAGATGATGAGAGTGTACATTTAAGTTATGTCATGCATATGGATGGCAAGGAATGGATACAAGACTATTTAGGTGGAAAGAACATGATTAATCACTGGATGTAGGGATAAATGAGAAGGAATTTTGAATAATCTCCAGCTTTGGGGAGACTAGCTCGATAGTAGTAACATTTAGAGAGAGAAGAAAACTAGGGAAATAAAATATTAATGGAATGGAATTCCTTCTTAATCTGAATAACAGGGGTAACCATGCCCACTTCCTACTATTGTTGGGAGTATTTATTGAGTTAGCACACAAAGCACCTGGAATATAGGAGATGCTCAATAAATAACAATAATGTTATCCATTACCTGTATTCCTCCTCCTATTGAAAAAAGTCTTTCCATCTTTCAAGATCAATATCTCAAATGCCACTCCTTTGTGAAATATTTTCTGCTCTTACAAATTAGATGCAGTATTTTGTATCATGCCACCCTTCCTGATCCCATCCATGCCCCCATCCTATTCATGAGACAGCTCCATCAACTGTACCATTTTATCTTGACACCTACTGCAGCTTTACACATATGATATACACATGCCAGCTTCTCAGGATGCTCCTAACTCCTTCTGCTCTCCAGGAGAAAGTTCTTGGGGATTTGTAGAAATCTTGGGGATGCTTCCCCAGCTCATTAAATTAAAGGATCGAGGAAATTCTATCTAAATTTCAAGTGCTAGAGAGAGCTTCAGTACAACCTGGAGTTACCCCTGGGTTAGTCAATGAGGCAACTGAACTGTCTCTGAGGGCCCAGGCAAAAAAAAAAAGGTTTTATACTTGGGAGATGCTATATTTTACTTGGGAGAAAGTCTCCTATTCCCCTGTTGTTAATGTACATTCCAGTATCTCAATTCATCAGGGGAACTATGGGACAATTCAGAAGACAGACTGGTGAAGGAGATGAGTAGTACAACAATGAGATATGTGTGTCAAGGAAATGCCTGAAACAGGCCCAGCGAGGGGATCCAGGACAGGAGAGGAGAAAGAACGGTTGCTGATGGCAAACTTCGCTAAGCACCTACTGTGTATATGGAACTATGCTAGCTGGGCATCAGGGGATATGAAGATAAATTTGGTCTTGAGGCATTCAAAACTTAGGAAGGGAGAAAGACAAAAAGGAGATTAACTTGAAAACAGTAAGAAAAGTACCACAAAAGTAATTGTGGTATGAAATGGGAGTGACATGAAATAGAGGGGAACGCATTTTTTTTTTGAGTGTAGAACTGAAGTGAGTTTTTTATTTGTTTCAATCAAGCATATGATAGAGTGATTAACCATTCTATCAAGCATATGATAGAATGAATGCAAATTAATGTGCTCAGATACACCTTAAGATGTGAAAGAAACCCAACCCAACTCGTCCACTGATGGATGAGTGAAAACACAAAATGTGATATATATGATACACACACACACACACACACACACACACACACACAAAGTAGAACATTATTCAGCCTTAAAAAGAAGGAAATTCACCAACTTGGATGAACCTTGAGGACTCTATGCTAAATGAAATAAGCCAGTCACAAAAGAGCAAATAGTATATCATTTCACTTATCTGTAGCATGTAGAGTAGTTAAATTTATAGAGACAGAAAGTAGAATGGCGGTGGCCAGGGACTCAGGTGGGAGGGGGGATGGAGAGTTACTGTTTAAGGGGTACAATTTCTGTTTTGCAAAATAAAGAGTTCTGTGAATGTATGAGGATGATGGAACACAACACCATGAATGTACTTATTGCCACTGAACCATATACTTAAACATGGTGAAGATGGTAAATTGTAAGTATTTTACCACAATAAAAAATTATTAAGGACATTTTTTAAAAGTGTTCTCTGAAAGATCCCTAATCCCCTACAGTAGATTAGGTCCCTCATCGTACAATCTTGTTCTGCACCACAGTTCCTCCAGCATATTACTTATCACACCCCATTGGAATTTCTGTTGAATTGGTCACCATCCAATACTAAAGTTTAGCTTTTTAAGAGAAACATTATTTTCGTATGTTTTAGCCACCAAAATCAACTTCCTCTTTGGGCATACGTTTAGATGACTTATCAAACTCTCTTTCACTTAAGTATGGCTATATAATTATGTTGTCTTTAATGAAATTTGGTCCAAAATAATGTGTGCCACTTCCAGGCTTGGTCCTAGGAATCTCCCAGGTGTGGCCTCAGTGCTCACTTTCCCCAGATTGCAGTATTGATGCCAAGGGTGCCATGGGGAGCAGTGTGTTGAAGATGCAATGTCAGCAGGGGTCCCTGAAAGACCATGTGGAAACAAGTTGGTCAGCTGGTGTGAACTTCCATCCAGGACTTTTATGTTAGCAAGACATAAAATCTACTGTGTATGTTACTGAAACTTTAGGAGTCTATTTGCTGCTGCATCTTAGACTACCTTACTAATCCACTAAGTCACTCAACCTATCTAACTTCATCACTTATAGCTGTATGAGTTGGACAAAGTTACTCAGTCCCTCTTAGGGTCATCTTCTTTTTTTGTTCTAATTGAAGTATAGTTGATTTACAATGTTGTATTAGTTTCTGGTGTACACCATAACATATTATAGCACTTACCTATAGTTGGAGCTTATTGATGATTATGATTTTACTCCAGTGGGCTAGCACGGCCCTGACTAGCCCCTCTTCTCTCATCTCCAACCATCAGCATTCTTGAAAGTTCACTTAAAATGCCCTATACTTTAGAAATTTCAGTCCTCAAATCTGTATGTGCCTCTATAGGAAACTCTGCCTTTGTATTACAGCTACAGTATTTTAAGAATTCTAAGACACCATTTATTTTTAAATGCAGGATCACTTTAATAAAAGCCCTTCAAGAGAAAAGCACCCTATCTCTTTTAGTTATACACACTAATATTTTGACTCACCTTGATTTCCGAAACCTTAAATTATGGGGGAAAATTCTTCTTAGAATAGATGACATAGGGTTTTTATGAAGTTTATTTTATCCTTTCTCGCTCAAACTTCCTCATTCTCATGCAATGTGCACGCACGTGGGTTCACACATGACAAGATATGAATGGGATAAAAATCCCATTGACCTTTGACAATCTATAGTACCACACCTTGAAAGGACTACACGTCAGTAAATGTGACTTAACTGAGCCATGGAGGAGTGATGGTCTCATCTAGGAAACAGGCTGGCTCTCCTTGGGGCACTAGCAGTTTTCATTGCCCTGAGGTGACATAAAAGGTTTTCTGAGCACCTGTGTCTGGATGTACCAAGTTCCTAGTACCCCCAGGAATATAAGGAGAAGAAGCCCCTTCCCTAGGAAGATCCATGTCACTGGGAAGAAAGTGCCTGCAGCTGCCTCAGAACCTGAAAGAGAGAAAGTAGAGTGAGAGGGATCAGAGCATGTGTGTATAAGTGGAAGGGGTGTTGTTGGTAGGTGCTGAGAGCTGGCATCTACTCCCTCCAGCTCTTTCTAAAGATTCTCAAAGCATTTCCCAGAAGCCCTAGAAAGGCTAGAAGGGGTCAGTTACCTGCACAAAGCTGCCTAACAAGGTTGAGGCTAGAGATACTCTTGCTAACAGGATTCATAGGTGTGCAGGTCTAGGCCCAATTCAGTCACAAGAGTTCTGGGAGTCACTGAGGACTGATCCTTCCTGGGGCAGAATGGCCCTTGGTCCCATTGGTGTCCACCCATACATGGTGTTCTCTCCTCCTGCCTCCACAGAACATCTCAAGGTGACATTACAGGTGCTGTGCTCACAGATGAAGGAATCCACTTGAACTTGAGGCCTTGGCAGTCACTCTGCCTGAAGCAATAGTTTTAAAAGATAAAAATAGCAATAAGGGGCCTTACTAGGCCATCCCAGGAGGAGAGGACACAGGGAATAAATGGGAGAGAACATAGCAAGGAATCCACAACCCTTTGGAGAAAAGATTTCTGACTCTTCCAATTCCAGCCCTTAAGGGGCTGAATGGAGGAAGAAGCAAGTTGTGTGATGCTTTTTAACCAGCCACAACCAGGGCCATCAGCCAGACTTTGCTGACAACTGAAGAGGACAAAAAAGAATAAGAAAAGGGACAAGAAAGATCTACCTAAGAGAGATTCTGGACACCCCAAAAGAGTGAAACCAAGGGACAATCTACCAGGGGCCATCTAGCCCCCAACCCCCCACGGCATAGAAGATGGCTTTATTCACCCTGACCAGTAGGGAATTGGTCCTCTATGCCCTGACACACTGAAGATCCTCAGATCATGATTGGTAAACAGTGAAGAGGTCGGTGTGCTTATCACGACTCTGTAAGGTCCTGTGCCTGCCATCGTCAGGTTGCTGAGCAGCAAGGAGTAGGACTCGGTGACATTCAATCGATCTTTCTGCTTTGGGTCAGTCACCTGGTTTAGCGTTTCATTTGGTTCTGTGAAGACGATAGATTTTCCATCATGAAGCCAGGTGATGGACGTGATCTTCTCTTCCACAGGCAACTTCAGGGTGAGAGTTACAGACTCCCCCAGGACCCCGTTCACAATCAATGGGGTTGAGCTGATTTGTGAAACTGTGAACACAAGGAAGGAAATGACTATAAAAACTGGCCCTGATACCCTCCCTTTTCCCTAAGTCTCCCAGTCAGTCATAGCCCTACCAGGTTATGTGAATGTGAGACCTAGCAGTGGTGCTTTGGCTGGAGATGGAATTGAGCAATGCTTACTCTCCTTCCTGCTGGGATCATGTTCTCCAACCTGGGGATTGGGTTCCTACTGAGGGCTATTGGCCCTGGAAGCTTAGAAGGGAGATGGCAGGGGAAGTCAGGGCCCAGCCTTACCCTGCCCAGCCCCTCTTTTTCCTTATCCCTAAATTTTAACTCTCATGACTTCCTATTTATGAAATACTCTCCCACGCCGCAGCTGGGGTTTTGATATTGCTGTAGTTCTGGTGGCTCGGTGGTGTATGGTATAACGATCTCTAGATGACAGTCTCTAGAGGATCCTGCCTCTTCCCGTGCAGTTTTGGAGAAGCCTGTTGATTTCTCCAGGCATCTTCTCTTTTATAAAATAATGGAGATAAAATGTAAAGCCTTTCAACTCCGACATTCACAATGTCATGATTCTATGTACCCCCAACATTCTCTTTTCCTCCTCCTTCTTTCTCTCCTTCACTATTTAATAGGTCTTTCTCTCTCATGTCCTTGAGTCATTCACCCGCTTTTTTCTGCCTGGTCTCCCAATCTCTCTGACAAGGGGCTCTCAATTCTGGGAAAGTCCTTCCCAGGCAGCGCCCATGTGGACCCTCTGCCCCTTGGAAGGTCAAGCTACAGGGGAGGAGCCTCTGACCCATTCACCTGGAGACTGGAGAAGCAGGGGGGAAGAGGAGAAGCTGAGCAGGTCTCATGCTGGCAGGACTGAGCTGATTTGCCCTGAAGATCTCAAGGAAATAAGAGGAAGGCACAAGAGAACAGGAAGTTCTGTTTCACAGCACAGATAACACAATGAGATGCTGTTAGTTCCCACGTGCATTATCTTTGCTAAGCACATCCCTAGCACATCCCTTGATTGGCCCTGACATCTGCCTCAGATTCTGTCCTTAAAGTCAGGAAGAGTGCACAAATATGAAGATGGCACTTTAGAGAACCTGATATGCTTTAACAAATGGTTTCGATGGGATTGTTAAGCTATTTTAAAAGTTAAGTTCTCCTCTTACCCCCATTTTAAAGACAATCCTAGATATCATGCCATCATCTTCGTATTTCAACGTATGTTTTAAAATATACATACATTTCTTACATAATCTCCATGCCATTATCACAACTAAAAAAATGAAAATAATTCATTGGTATTATATAATATCTAGTCTGTATTCCGAGTTCTCCCAATGGCAGGAAACTATTTGTAGTTGGTTTTGCTTTAATCGGAATCTAAACAAGATCCTTGTGTTGCATTTTGTTATTGGACCTCATAAATATCTTCTAATCTACAGAAGTCAGTGCCCCTCTCCTCCTTTTCTTTTTTTTTTTTTTTTTTTGGGGGGAGTTTTTTCTTTTTCACTTTTTCTTTTTTTTTGGGTTTTTTTTTTTTTTTTTTTTTTTTGCGGTACGCGGGCCTCTCACTGTTGTGGCCTCTCCCGTTGCGGAGCACAGGCTCCAGACACGCAGGCCCAGCGGCCATGGCTCACGGGCCCAGCCGCTCTGAGGCATGTGGGATCTTCCCGGACCGGGGCACGAACCCGTGTCCCCTGCATCGGCAGGTGGAGTCTCAACCACTGTGCCACCAGGGAAGCCCCACTCTTTCTCTTTTAAGTACCATTATAAACTCATGAATTTTTGTATATGCAATGTGTGTCAACTGCAATTATTACTTTGATGCTTAAATTTTCTCATCTTTGGTCAATGTGAGACCCTCCTTGCTGGTTCCTTTGTTATTTTGACATGGCTGCATTAGGCTTTTTTTTTTTTTTAATTCTTTTTAAACATTGTTTTTTTAAAAAAATTATTTTATTTATTTATTTATTTTTGGCTGCATTGAGTCTTCGTTGCTGCACGCGGGCTTTCTCTAGTTGTGGCAAGAGGGGGCTACTCTTTGTTGTGGTGCACAGGCTTCTCATTGCGGTGGCTTCTCTTGTTGCAGAGCACAGGCTCTAGGCACACAGGCTTCAGTTGTTGTGGCATGTGGGCTCAGTAGTTGTGGCTCTCGGGCATAGTTTCTCCAAGGCATGTGGGATCTTCCCGGACCAGGGCTCAAACTGGTGTCCCCCAGTGCATTGGCAGGCGGATTCCTAACCACTGCGCCACCAGGGAAGTCTGCATTAGGCTTTTATAATTTCTTTGAATTCTTACACAAGAAGGTATTCCAGGCTCAACTTGTTCATAAACTTCCACAGACATGAAAGCAGCCATTCCTCAAAAGATCCCTTATTCCTTTAATGGGGGAATGCCACTTAGACACCACAATTTTGTCTCTAAGCATACTCATTGGTATTGGGTTGTCATTGCTTACAGACTTTTTCAGTGGACGGAATTAGGAAATACATATTCTTTAAAGAAAAAATGGAACAAAAATTTGTATTCTTCCATTTTCTATTTAAATTCTTTGATTTTACACATATCTCTTTCTTTCACAAGAAAACGTCTTGGTTCCTAACAGCACTAATGTAAAAATGTGTTTGTTTTATCCTGGAAAAAATATATACAGTTTTAAGATAGTAATAATATCAGAATTGTTAATAGCAACAATAAACACTGAATGAGTTTAACATTTCTTTGTATGTTTATTCATCCCGTAACCAAGCAGGCCTTCTCAGACTAGACCCCCACCCATGTCCTCTGCCTGCCTTTTATCTGTAGTAAAACTTTAGTTAAAGAACAAATTTCATCAGAAAAGTGAGAAAACACAGAAAGAAAGAAAAACAGTCAAGCAAGACAAAATAATAATACTCTAGCCATTAAATAAAGTCAAGGACCTTTAGTTCTTCCTCAAGGACTATAGATAATATTCTGAGCCATGCCCTCTGAGCTGTTTTGCAGATACTGAAACCCCCATCAGGTGGAAGAAGTTAACTGTGTGCTGCCCACAAGCACGTAGACCCCAGACTCGTTGGAACCAGATGTTGATGATGCTGACTCCCGATTACCTCACCACCAACCAATCAGAAGAATGTCCATGAGCTAATCACGCCCTGCTCCTTGAAGACTCCTCGTTACCTCCTCCAGGGTGGGTCACACAGTCTTGAGGGCATTAGCTCACTGTGGTCCCCTTTGCCTGGCAAAGCAATAAAAGCTACTCTTCACCCAAAACTCCACATCTCCACGTTTCTATTTGGCACTGGTGAACAGAGGCCAAGTGTCAGCAACAATCCTTAGATATCTTCCACACAGAATGTACAATGAAAATATTAGGGCTGGCTTTCTGCAATCAAATCAGCTTGGGATACAAGAGGAGTCCCCATGGATCTGCCTTATTACCACGGCCCTCTGTCCAAGTGAGACTGTGAGACCTTGCTGCTCAAGGAAGGGGTGGACGGCAACTTTTTGTTAAGAGACGGTGAGTCTATGCCCGGAGTCCTGTGCCTCTGTGTCTCGTGAGTAGCCTCATCTTCCACACATTTGGAACCTTATGCTAAATGTAGGACTGATAACCAAGTAGAAAAGAAATTCTACTTCACTGACTTCGCAGCCCCAATGAGCAGAATGAGAAATAGTTAGACTGCCAGGAGGGGATGGAAGGAACGTGTCTGTCCAAGCTCCTCCACCTGCCCTTCTCTCCCTGGTGCAAATGCCATACAAGCAATGAGCACACTCTGTGAAGCAGCAGAAATGGGGCTGGTGAGGAGAAGAGTGCAGGCAGCATGGGAGCGGAGCGGGGAGGCAGAGAAGGTAGCCATGTGAGAAAGGTCCTTTCCTCCAGATGTCTATTTATTTATTATGGAAAAGGCTGGAGACCCTTTATGAAATTTCAACCTGAAAGACCAATTATTACATGCATTCTGCCACCTCTGCTTGCAATATTTAAAACACTAATAATATTTCACATTTTATTTAGATTTATAAAAGGCTTTAACATTTATCATTTGCTCTTGTCTCTCTCTGGGTCCACTAAGGTAAGTATAAATAATCGCTATTATTTAGATGAATAAGCAAGGCCCAAATTCCTCAAATGACTTGCTCTTGCTAAAAGTCATCTGATATCAGGCCAAAATGCCAGAACTATCCTACCAAAGTGATTACTTAAAGACTAGTATAGAAAGCAATGCTGAGTGAATAATCACTTTAGTCTCCCAATAAAGTATGGACCACTGAAAATTTTCACATTTTACCTACTATAGAATTAAAATCAAGTCAGTCAAACATAAGGAGAAGATATATATTTCTCTCTGGGGATACAGAGATGAGACAGGTAGCCATAATTTGTTCTGGGTCTATTGGAGAAAAGTGAGTTTAAGCAATTATTTATAATATTGTATCTTATCATAGACTTAGAATTTCCAACTCTTGCCCATCTTCCTGTGCCAACCTTGAAACCTCTGGCCTTCTGCGACCAGTTCTTACCTGGACCACCACATATATGCCAGGCCAGGCAATGAATTACCACCTTCACCAAGCCTCTACTTCTATTACTAACTAGGGTCCCAGCCTGGTTCTGCAGTGAAGCAATTTTATTATTTGGGACTTCCTATTCTTTGTTTTTCTTCTGTGACCCAGTTCTTCTTCCCTTTTCTATTTTTAAATTTATTTGTTTATTTCTGGCTGCGTTGGGTCTTCATTGCTGTGGGCTTTCTCTGGTTGTGGCGAGCGGGGCTCCTCTTCGTTGTGCTGCACGGGCTTCTTATTGTGGTGGCTTCTCTTTGTTGCAGAGCACGGGCTCCAGGCGCCCGGTCTTCAGGAGTTGTGGCCCAAGGGCTTAGTTGCTCCATGGCATGTGGGATCTTCCTGGACCAGAGCTCGAACCCGTGTCCCCTGCATGGGCAGGTGTATTCTTAACCACTGCGCCACCAGGGAAGTCCTTCCCTTTTCTTATATACCTTTCCACTGAGCCTTCTGGGCTCCTTATTTCATAGTCAACAAAT